TCTCTCTCTCTCTCTCTCTCTCTCTCTCTCTCAATTTCAATTACCCGTCCCCTCCTCCCTACCTGTCTCCCTTCAGTTTAACCTCCCTTCTTCCATTTCTTGCACCTCTTTCTCCCTTTCTGCAATCTCCGCTGTCCCTCTTCCCCTCCGGTCTTGTTTCATGTCCGCCTCCTTTCAATTCCGTCTTCCTGTCTTCGTTTCCTCCTCGATTACCCCCGTGACCTGTCCTTCTCTATCTCCTTCCTCTCCTACTTCTCCCTCCCTCCGTCCCGTCCCCTCCCCTCCCCTCCCCTCCCCTCCCCTTCTCTTTTATGATCTTTGGCTTCTTATCGACTTTCAATCTCGATGCAGAATGCTGACGTGCCTCTCCCTTAAAGTTTGTGGCTATTTCAGTCTGAGTCACTGCAAGCTCCGCTAGCTTTCCGCCGGTTCGCTGCTCCCACCTTCCTTAAGCCCCTCCCCACTGATATCTCGAAACGACACTCTCCCATCTCTCTCTCACCACTGCCTAAATCCGACCAACACACACACACACGCACACAGAGAGAGAGAGAGACGAAAAAACAACCCAAAAACAGACACACACACACACACACACACACACACACAGAGAGGTGAAGGACGTGCAGTGTACACCTACAACACTCGGAATTTTCTGTTGTGTATTGGTGTGCAATCAAGTATTGTACGCCGTTTCACGTGATTTGGACGAAGGGCTACGTATGGCACAACGTCCTGGCTGGGCTCTCGTTTTCCGCGGGAGGTGTCATGCATGGGGCTCCTCACACTTGTCTGTCGCAGTCCGCCGGCGCAGCGTTTTCCGACGTCGTGGGAACTGCATGGTCATGGTCACCGCACCTACCATCGCATGGGGCTCGCCTGTTTATACCTTTTCTAGCCCATCCAGACGCATCTAGGCGCAATGCCGTTCGTCTACATTCAGGAAATAATGTCGCTTCCAATCACTCACGACGTAGCCTTTGCACACCTGCGTGGTGGCTTGTAATCGGCATTTTTTTTATTTTATTTATTATATTTTTTTTTTTGGGCAATATTAGCCCGGTCAGGATGGACTGCAATCAGGCTGCTGCTTGCTTTCTTTGGGCCTCGCTCCACTGTACAACAGACTAAGGGCGAGATCCCACTAGGCAAGAAGATGGGATTAACCGCCTGAATCTGGAGGCGTTTTATGTAGAGATGCAGAAACGCAGAGCAATCACAATCATCGGCACATCTCCTCAAACACGTCCACATTCAGGTTTTCAATCCAATCTCTTTGCTATTGGGGTCTCGCCCAAATTGTACATGCAACCGGGTACGGGTAATAATGGTCCCTATACAGTCAAAATATTGCCTCACTGGGAAAAAGGCCTATTTCGCAAAATACCCCCATAAGTTGAGCGGAATACCCTTTTGGGGCGAAATCTTTGTTATGCCCCTGTCAGCCCGGTGAGCAAAGGTGCAATTTAGACCCCACCTTTTGGGCGCTGGCCTTCGGCAATAGGGCCTTGGAAACGCTGGCATGTACCAGGGCGTTTTGCAATGTTGGAGGGTACCCCGTACTAGGCGTATATTGCAAAGATGGAGGGTACCCAGCAGGGGTATATTGCAAAGTTGGCATCTACCCGACGTCAGAGGTATTCCACAAAAAAGTTTTACTTTGTCAGAGGGCAGAGGGCATTCCCCTCTCTGCTCACATCTTTCGGAGGCTTTTTTTTTTTTTTTTTTTCCGGAATTCAGAGGCATTTTGGCATGTATCTGAACTCATCAGGGTGCAAAAAGAAAAAGAAAGAAAAAAAAAAACTCATTGGGGTGTTTTGCAAAAAAAAAACAGACGGAAGTCTTGTCGAATATGGTCAGATCACACCAAGGCAGAGTTCTGGTCAATGGGTTTATCTCAGACCCTTTCACAGTATCAAGATCATTGAGGCAGGGATGCCCCCTAGCCCCCTCCCTCTTTGTCATCCAGATGGAAGTCTTGTTGAATATGGTCAGATCACACCAATCATACAAAGGTCTCCGAGTATCTAGATCCTTCGAGCTCAAAGCGTCCGCGCTTGCAGACGATTTCTCAGCAGTTTCAGAGAACTCTGTGGAATCTCTTCAAGCGTTAAGACAATGCCTTACGATATACGAGGCAGCATCCGAGATGAAGGTCAGCTGGCATAAATCTGTTGCCATGACCCCACATGGTAGCCCATTGGCAATCGACTGGGGCATCAAAGTTCTCCCAAACACAGACTCAGAGAGATACTTAGGTATCCTAATATCTTTCTCAGACTGTTCAAAATCACAGGATGCCATCATAGAAGAAAGAATCGGGAACTCATGCGCACATCGGTCCAAGAAAAACTTCTTATCGCTGTTTGGTCGGGCAACGGTGACTAACGTTTCGATATTTTCCACAATCTGGGGTATCCTTTCGTTTAGAGCCTGAGAGTTATCTCAATCCTCAGCTCAGCTGATCCGTCAACTTATCTCCAAATTCATCTGGAAAGGGGACTCAGAAGTGTCCCCATGCATATCCAAAATAGCGTGGTGGAAAATTATTGAGAAGAAGAACGATGGGGGACTTGGGATCATTAACCCCGAGATCCAGAACAGAGCATTACTAACGAAATGGGTTACTAGACTACTGACGCTTCCAATTGACACCCCTTGGATTCAGTTAACCATCTCCATCCTCTCTACCGAATGGTCGTTATCCGACAACTCAGCATTATGGGATTGCTTGTTTCTCCCCTCACTTGCCAAGAATACTAACTCTCCTACCTGGAGCCCAATACTCAAAGCATGGTCCAGAATGCATCCGACCACGATCAAGGAATGTACATCAGCAGAAAGGGTTCTGTCAATGCCCCTCTTTGAGAATCCTGCAATCCGAGGGGAGATAGGGGCGGTTTTCAGTGTCTCCTCACGGAAAGGTAACTTCGGACGCAAATGGCTCCAGAAGGGCATATGGAAAGTGGAACACATTTGGGACCAGAACCGGAGAGAGTGGAAGACTGCAGAAGTCCTGAAGCATAAACTCAGAGGCCTTCAAGGGATACCTACACATTTGAAGGCATTGATCTCGGTTGTTCCCCAAGCATGGTTTAAACTCTTGAGAACTGAAAGTGGGGACTGGCTAGAGGACACTTGGTGGTTGGATTCCCAATCAGCTGAACGAATACTGCATATCACAGACGCAAAGGCCGGAAATGGTCTGGAAGCGGAGGTCTGGATCAAGGAGTTGCCACCAAATTTTGTTAAGAGGGATATCATTCTCTTACCCAACTGCAGGATGGGCAAGCCTATCAGAGTAGTCTCTTTCCTCACTCAAGAAGGGACTATGGTGGCCCAAGTTCTCGGTCAGGCAACACAATTGGAGGACAACAGACCAGACTCATCCGAGATGGGATGGGCATTGGATTCCGGGGTGTCAACACCCACCAAAATTTCAATCAGTGACTACAGACCAAAATTGAGGTACAAGCTACACTCGAAAGCCCCCTCTCTGAAAGCACAATCATGCTTATCGTGGAATAAGCGGTTCAACGCTATGCCTTTTTTAACATTTGTGGATAAATGGTTACCTTTCTATTGCCAGATGATCGCAGGTGATGGGAGGGCTGCAGTGGATGCATATGCATTCATGTGTGCCCACTGCAGAATAGTGTTCAGAAAAAGGCATGTTGGTGAGTATCTTCTGTGACCATTGCCTCTACCCAAGAGTGGAATCCTCTGCACACCTATGGTGGGAATGTGTGGTGGCCAGAGGCTTCTGGGAATGGTTACAAGACACATGGTTTAGAGCTTACATGGACTGACTTATGGACTCAAGACTTTGTGATCTCTGGGGTTACTACAGTAATGAAAGGTAAGGTTGTGGCCTACAAATTCCGTGCGATAGCCTTCTGGATTCTTTGGCTAGCACATAGGGATAGAAGGTTCTACTCCAAACCTACTTCTCAGACTGTTATCAGGAACCAATTTCGGTATTCGGTTCGCCTGCTAATATTAGCAGAGCTAAGGAAGAATAAGAGTCTCAGACTGTGGGAACAGCCCTTTACATGGGCAGGATCACTGGCTTCAGGCCAAGTGTACTTTTCAAGACTGTTGTGGGATGAACAA